TAATACATCTTTTGAAATGGGAAAAGTTCATTTCTTATTCTGGACTTGGAAAAAGTAAAACCTGACAAATAAAGTCAATTATTTTTCCATTTCTATAGCCAAATGTTTTTTTCTTAATTATCATTCCCCTAAATCTTTCTATTATGTAATGAATTGCAGCTTCTAATACACGTGCTGAAGTTCATAGTTCAGAAGAGAAAATTAAAATGCATGATAGTGACATAAAAATAGATTTAAGGACACTTTTTCTACTAAGGCAGTATCTGACTGCAATATGACTGTCTTCATTAGTATTAAATGAAATAAAATATATGGAATTAAAAAAACTAAAAAAGATTCCGAATATCTATACAAGAAAGTTTGATTGGTTAAGGTGGAAATTTATCCCCCCCAACAGATTTATAAATTTAACGCCAGTAAATAAGTCATACCTCTAGAGACACATCTGATTCTTCAAATGCATCAGCAAAATCTGATGGACTTCAAAGACAATACTATAAATGTAAAAGCTTAAAAGACATAACAAAACACTGGAATTTTGATAACCCAGTTATTTCAGCATCCTACCTCTATTGAAGTATCGAGATCTTCAAATGGATCAGCAAAGTCTGATGGACTTTTCTTCAGAGTCTGGTCAGCAGGCAGCGTGTTGTCATTATACGATGTCACAAACTTAAAGTCACTGGTTCTAGAACCTGTGGTCAGGTACGCATCATAATTGTAAGTGCTGTGTAAAGTTCCTGTGCCATCAACATCTGCGTAATTAGGAGGGAGATAACCGCTGGGGATGGCAACTGCTCCATCAAACAACAGTCTGGGCTTTCTCCTGCGACAAAACCTCAAACCCAGGATGATGATGATGAAAGTCAGAAAAAACGTAGACACAGACACCAGCGCGATGATCAGATAAGAGGTCAGTTTGGAATTCTTCTCATCATAAGACAAATCCTTCAGTTCTGGCACTTCCGCCAAGTTATCAGAAATAAGTAAATACATAGAACAGGTGGCAGACAGAGGGGGCTGTCCGTTATCTTTCACTGTCACTACAAGGTTCTGTTTCATGCTGTCAGATTCAGAAATGTCCCGCAGTGTCCTGATCTCTCCGCTGTGGACACCAATGGTAAAAAGTCCCGGATCAGTGGATTTGAATATATGATAGGACAGCCAGGCGTTCTGTCCGGAGTCCGCGTCCACCGCGATCACTTTGGACACCAGAGAGCCTCCGTGTGCAGCTTTGGGGACCAGCTCGGTCATGAAGGAGTTGCCCTTCGGGGAGGGGTACAGGATCTGAGGAGAGTTGTCATTCACATCTGAGATGAACACACTCACGGTCACGTTGCTGCTGAGAGGAGGAGAACCGTTGTCTCTGGCCATCACGTGGACTTTAAAACTCCTGAACTGTTCATAATCAAAGGACCTCGCAGCGTGGATCACACCCGTGTCTCCGTTCACAGACAGATACGAGGACACCGGGGCACCGTTCACCTCACCAGCTAACAGAGAATAAACCACTGTACCGTTCTGTCTCCAGTCGGGGTCTCGAGCACTAACGGAACATAAAGTGGAGCCCGGTTTGTTATTCTCACTCACATATGCGTTGTACGACTGTTCCTCAAACACAGGTGGGTTGTCGTTGATGTCAGCTACAGATAACTGAACACTTTTAGAAGAAGACAGCGGTGGAGAGCCCTCGTCAGTGGCAGTGATTGTAATGTTGTAATCAGACACTAGTTCGCGGTCCAGTTTCCCTGTGCTCACCAGAGAATAATAGTTTTTAATAGAAGGAACCAACTTAAAGGGGACACCCTGCTGGATGGAGCAGCGGACCTGTCCATTATATTCAGAGTCTCTGTCCTGCACGTTAATGATGCCCACCTCTGTACCAGGTGGCACATTCTCAGGTATAGGATTTGTCAGTGTCTTCAGGTATATAAATGGTATATTATCATTTACATCAGTCACATCTATTAAAACTCTAGCATAAGATGTTAGTCCTAAACCATCTTTGGCTTTTACCCTCATTTCAAAAAAACTTCTTTCTTCATAGTCAATTACACCAGTTACTTTAATTTCTCCAGTTTTGGAATCAATGGAAAATACATTTATGTCGTTGTCAGACACATGGCCAAACTGATATGCTACATCTCCATTCACTCCTTCGTCTGCATCTGTGGCACTGACTTTAATCACTGTTGTATCTAAAGGACAGTTTTCAGGCAGACTGGCTTTATAAACGGCCTGGCTGAACTCTGGGGCGTTATCATTAGCATCCAGCACAGTGACGTGTATGGCTACGGTACCGGATCTCTGAGGAGATCCACCGTCCAAAGCTGTGAGAAGTAAATTAATCTCCTTTTGTTTCTCTCGATCAAGTTTATTCTGTAGAACAAGTTCAACTCTATTGCTATCAACAGCCAGAATAAAGTTGTCGTTCTTATGTAGGCTGTATCTTTGCACAGCATTTTGACTAATATCTGCGTCATGGGCCTCTTCAATTGAGAAGCGGTTACCCTTCTCTGCTGACTCGCTTATTTCCATTTTTATCAAATTTTCGTTAAATTGCGGTGCATTGTCGTTCACATCTTGGATATGCAGATTTACATGGTGAAGCTCCAAAGGATTTTCTAACACCAGATCTACTTTTAAAACACAAGAAGGTTTCTTCCCGCAAAGGCTTTCCCTGTCAATTCTCTCCGATGTGATCAAATCTCCGGTTCTCATATTAATATCACAGTACCTTTTCCGAGATCCTTCAAAATCAACACGGGCTTGTCGTGAAGCTAAGGTTCCAAAATTAACACCGAGGTCCTTCGCGACGTTTCCAATGACATAGTCTCGTTTCATTTCTTCTGGAATAGAGTAACTCAGGTCCCCATAAACCAGGCGCAGCGTTACAACAAACAAAGCAGACCGGAGAATCAGTCTTAACCCTGAAAATCCTTTGTCTCCCATCCTGATACAAAAACGTGACCGCAGTGCTTCTGATGCACTTTCCAGAGCAAAAACAACAACGTGATTCGTAACCGATTCAACAATCCAAAGTGTAATATCACGATGAAACACGGAGAAACATGTCTGCAAACGTAACTGGTTCTCAGGGAATTACAGTCGACATCTGTGTAGTAGCAGTGGGTGGAGTGGTGTGTGTCAGTGTGCTATCAGCCAACAGCGACACCACGAGTTGCCTTTTATCCTCACACTAGGTGATTAAATATGTTTGTCGATGTCTGAAAACACAAGTCATGTTCACTTATTGTTAAATAAACTTTGAATTGGTTTTTCAAAACACAAGCTTATTGAAAACACCAAAACTACGAGAAATCGCTAACTAAAAGAAAAAAAAATAGTGTTTCACGATTTACTGATGACAAGGAACATCATACCACTTGTGCATGAAGAACAGTAACAAGTACCTCCCCAGTAAACATTTTATAATCAGTTTGTAACTACAAGCAATTAACGAGTGTATATAGTGGCAAACAAGAAATGTCTACACACATCTGCTGTATGTGATAAAATGTCATTCGTTTACCTCAGGAACATAACCTATAAACAGGCTCATCATATAACACATCTTGTGTTCTTCGTTCACAGAACACAACTGAACGGAAAAACATTTGATTTGCGGGCCGAACGTTCTAGATACAATTAAGCTAATGTTTCTACATCGTTGTCAAAGGAAGAAGAAATGAATAACAAACTGTTGTATGTAGATATTGCTATTATTTTGAAGGTCACATAGATAAACCTGACAGAAAATTCTGTTAAGACTCTTTTACCTTCGCTAATACCAGGTTAAAAATCACTCAAATGTAAAATGGTATATCCGACTACTTCATATTCAGAGCTGAGCTCGGCAAAATAAAAAGAATTCGGCAAATAACAACACAAATGTCTATTATAATTATTATCAATATTATTAATAATATCAATGGTCGCAGACAATTACTAGAAATGACGTCGATTTAAATGAAAGAGCACAACTATAGAAAGAGTGCGCACGCGAGAGAGGGAAAGACAGGGAGACAGAGAGAGGGAGAGAGAGAGAGAACAATTACAGTGAGTGGGTCTCTGGGGCCCTGAGGAATATTTCAGCACCAAAGAAAGTTAATTTGAGATTTGGAAGGACCAACCACGCAAAGATACAAAATGTGTTTCTGCTATACCCGCAGCCACGTGCTCTTCAATAGTGTGAATTAGTTATTTTGATAAAAGCAAACAATTACAATAAGTTAACCATGGCATAAGTCCGCATTGTTTTATACGGTATAGTTTGCTAAAGAATGAGTTATTTCATTAAATCTTTTTGCCACAAGGACCCAGAAAAACACATAACAACAATATACAAAATCACGAAAAATAGCACCCGCAAATAACAAACTAAGATGTAAGTTACATGATAAGTAAAGAAAAAAGAAAAATAGTCGAGATCAACATGCCTTAAGGTATTTCTGAATGAAATTTTTCATCATATGATAAGCAATTCGTAGTAAACGACAATACTACCTGTGCAAGATAAAGACATGAACAACGGTCTTACAAATATTTTTTTTTTAAAACAAAAAGAAACACAACAAAAAGTGTGGGAACCAGAGGAAAGATTTGTGAGTGTCTTACCTCAATAGATTGACCCAGAGTGTCAAATGGATCAGCAAAGTCTGATGGACTTTTCTTCAGAGTCTGGTCAGCAGGCAGCGTGTTGTCATTGTA